TTCATGTAGATTAACAAAGGAAATGACTCGTCAATCTACCAACCTGAAGAGAACATCGGACTTGAGCAGAGGAACGTTGAAGCAAATATCATCCAACGCTCAAGCCATAAGTTTTACTAGATTCATTGATCCAGGCTATCGCCGGTACGGAACATTGGGTCATTATTATTAAGTGAGTAAGGGCTCCTTTGACTTTAGGTTGATTCCGTGTTGATCCTGGTGACTTGAAGGTGTCATCGTAGCAATGATCGTAGTGGCGGCCCTCGCTCCTCGCCACAGAACACGTCTATGGAGGGTACTCCGTACTCCGTCCCATCAAAGCATACTTTGATACTTTGAGGTGAGGAAGGGCAACAAATTGCCACATACCAATGCCATATTATATACATGTCCGCCATTCAGTCAGATACCATGTATCCTTACTTGGTCAGACTCGTCCATACTCGGCCGTTGGAACTTGGATCATAACGATGATCGACAAAGCTAACCTGCCTTGGTACAATAAGGTTGATAGAAAACGGCAACGTTATGGTATCTTTAGAGTGCTTGCTTGAATCATCATTCTCTGTCCCTGGTCGTCCATACTTTTGTAGTCTCTCATTCTGCAGAAGTTGTGGACAGAGCTTCGGCTTTTGACTGATCATATTATTATTAAAATTGAAATTCATTCCATCTCAAAACACACACGGGCCTACGGCAGTCTAACTCTACCCCCTGGTCTAGTTATATAAGTCCGATAACGCAGCAATGGCAATTGTCATTGGTCCAATCGCTGCTGTTATGATATCAACTGATTGCTTCGAAGTTCAGGTACCCAGAGGCGGTAGACTGCATAGACTCCACCGTTTTAACCGACGGTCTTGAAGGATTCGTGAGTTAAATTCCTACTACTACTATTCAAGAGTGCAGAGAGTGAGACAGGAGAATACCTACAGAGTAGATCACGACCCAAGCGCAGACGCTTCTCCGTTGAGTGTGGAGGTGCGGTTCTAAGGAGGTTGCGATTGGTATGCTACAGGGGAGATCTGCATAGTAGACAGGACTAACGAAGCGGCCATGAGGCCATGACTCGAGACAGTCAGTAAACCTTTTTCAGCCGGGATTCGACAGCATGGGCAGGAACTGGCCCGAACGCCGATTCGAATAGCACGGAGTGAGTACTTCAAGGGAAGATGCAAGGCTGTTCTTCGGTTTTGATGTCTGCCGTTTTTGGACAGAACTCGAGAGGTTTCTCCTCGGCTCAAAGGTTAGTCGCCTAAATTTCTCAGCTGGCTAGAGAAAGCCTGAAACTACTCCGTACATACATACGGATGTAGTCCAATGTGTTGTAGTCTTGAAGTCTTGGGGAACTTGGAAGTTGATGCCGGAGGCTTTCCTGCCGGCTGGGATCCACCAGGGGTAAAGGGGAAACAAGCGTGGTAAGCCCTAACTCTTTCCATATCAGGCAATTCAGCCTAGATCGAAAATAGTCCCATTTCACAATCCCCAGCGTTCAGAAAACTGAGGTATCCTAGCACTTCTTTCGTAGGTAGTGTCTACGTACTACGGAGTAGTTACTACTTACTAACAAACTTTCGACTATAGGTCTCGTTTTCGTAATATCCCGAAGTAACTTGACTCAGCATGTGCAGTTTGATCACCCGCTCTGAAACAACTAGAAAAAGTTCCAGAACCTTAAGAACGAACAGTGATGATATGATGGTGTAACTAGTATGTCGATACTAGTACGGAGTAGGGTAACCAGGTAGCCTAGGCTGCCTAGCTCGGGCGTACTGTGGATTCGACTACCCTACCCGTATCAAAGCTGACGGCAAAATTCCCCGAGTGCGAAAAAATCGGACGGCTGGGTAGAGAACAAGAGATACTTCGAGGCTCTAAATATCGAGACAATCGCTGATCACTAATCTCTCACCGGCCGCTTGTATTACTCCGTAGGGGACTCCGTATCTACCTGCGAAGCGCAGTGAGAGTGCAAGAAGTGCTCGTTAACTGTTTATCTTATTGCCCCCGCAAATTCAAGTCTGGAAGCGAATTCTCTCTTACTTGAATCCTTCACCCTCAGGTTAAGCGACGATCAATTTGTATGCATGGATGGTTGCGTCCTCGGGCCTCAGCCTAGAGGGCTCATACCGGGTCAGACGCAGCGTGCCTTACTTTAGTGACTTTTAGTCTTCCTTATTGCATCGTAGAACTGGTAAGAACTTGCGGGGAAACATATCGATCTCTCGGTTAGACGGAACCTGCATATCATGGTATCGATTATCGCCAATAATTTCCCGCCTCTTGAAGTCTTCTCAGGCCGTCCTTCCCGATTATTCATGGAAGATTGCGCACCAAAATCGAAAGTGATCGCCGTGAGAACACTGCTGTCCAAGTTTCCCCTCACACGGTCAGCGCTTGGGGACTCAGGAGATCCTCCTCGGTTGATCGACTATCCCGGATCCTGATAAACATCCGAGAAACTCTCTTCTTAGTAGTGTCGCTCCGTCAACCACATGTCTTCCAAGTAAGTTGCGACTGCCGTCGAAGCTAGAAAAGAAAAGTTTGGCAGCCAAGGGGTGCCATACCAAGTCAGCAGACTTTGCATTGATCGCCTCCTGTGCTCATGGACCCACTCCAACAATGAGGAGGTATGAGGCTGTTAGGGAGACGAATTGTTTTGACAGACTGAAAGGCCCCTCCACAGGCTCAAACAACCAAATTTCGGATGTCAAAACGGAAGAGATTAAGTTTGCGCTGTCTCTTAGATCAACCCACAATGTCTTACACCGCGACATCGTGATGCTTGGGGTATCCATAACCCATCCACGGAATGCCAAGCGAGGTATCGAGCACTACTTGCAGTGATTACGTATCCTGGGTGGTTGACTCTACCACTTTACACCGAGCTGGCTATCATCTTCAGTATAATCGACAGTGCTCTCATCTTGTTTTCTGGTCAGTACTCTCAGAATTAGCCATATATGTTTTGTTTGTTTTGTTTCCCCCTCGCGTGTTGGGAATCCTGCTCCTTCTCCGAAGCATGTTAGTAACCAGGAAGTGATAAACACTTCTGCTCCGTACCACTTTCTACATCTACTGGGACCACTCCCAGCCTTCCAGGTAGAAACTAAGACCGTATCCAAAACAAAGACATAGACCAATTCTCCACCTTCTGCGAGTCAACATGACCAGCAATGGCCTCGATGGACGATCAACCATTTCCCTATCTAGCAATGGGATGTCCTTAAACTCCTTACAGTTCAAAATGGAGTCCTCGACACTAAAGATAGATCTAGAGTCTTGATCTTGACTCGTGTTCATGCCACTGGATGGCTGATTTGCGGGTCTGCTGGTGACCACTAACTGCGCTGTTGGCAGCGCCTTGAAGGGTGCGACGAGCCGAGAGGGGTCTATTGCAGATTCTGAAACAGGCACCGGAAGGGTGCCGTTGGAGCAGTCACAGCGACGGAGTTAAAACATACATTATTAAATCTGTAGACACTAGACAATCATACTTGGTAGAGACTGCGTGGGTTCTTCCTGCATGTACCCCAGTAAAAGGATTGCATATGCATACTATGGCATCATGGTACTCACACTACGGTAGACATGGTTAAATGGTGGCAATCGGGACGGGGCTCGCAATGATTACATCTGGGCATCTTGTGTGCATCGACGGCAAGAAGGCCGGAAGGCATGTTCCTCTACACCTCCAACTTGCATTAGATCGTTAGCTAGCCATATGAGACTAGGCACTTCATCTTCTGTGCGGAGAGCTCAAACCATTCTTTAGTCGGACTAGATGGCGAGAGCCGGAGTGCTTGAGCTTACGGTTTTCCGTTGGTATCTGCATTCACGGCACTATGAGCATGCGTTGCACGAGTCGTAGAGTCAGAAATACGGATTTTCTGGCGATGGAATACCTCTACGTACCAAGACGTCACTCAAATAGGTAGTCTAGATCTAGTATTTGCTGGCGATTGGCGAAGGAGGGCACAGACATAGCCAGAACTGGGGAAGATCTGGTCCTTTCTCAGGTTTGGAGCATTGCGGTGCCAATACCTGTCCTGATAGCTCGCAAAGTCGCAAGAGACCGTGTAACCTTCATTCGTACACAGACTCGAATTTCGAGTCAAGATACTTCGTGGCGGTGGAACTCGGAGCGAAAATACGGAGTATCAATGTCATGTTTGTCATCATAATGCAGTAGTTAACTAGTTAACTAGTCAAGACTAAAAAAGCAGTCTCAGCAGCTGGGCCTGGAGTTTCCTCGGGCGATCTGAAACCACGTCGAGGTGGACAGGTCTCTTGATTGCCTTGACAGAGTCTTACGGAGACTCCTTCCTTCTGCCCCGTGAAAGTTCGCACTCTGTAGCAACCAAGTAGCAAGCCAAAAAGTGACGGCCCCACAAACTAATCCAAACAAGTGAACGACAGGGTTCTCGAATTTCAGGGGGCGTTTCAGTCCTATCGCGACCCGGAAGGCGGAGGTTTCACCATATCAGGAACAGTGCACAAGTTCGGACCACTTTTTTTTTTTCGAACAGTCTCAAAACTTCCACTGAGATGTTAGAACGTGCTTCGACAAATATTTCCTAGAATAAGACTGGAGAATAAGGTTTATTAGTCCCAAACTAGAAGCACCCGAATGAACCGACGATATGGTGAGCGATATCAATTTCAGGCGTCGCTCTCTGTTACATAGCGAAACGACTGCTGCAAAGCGGTGGAATGGCTTCGCAAGCTAATGTGCCTCAACGATGCTGTCTCGAGTAATGGCTAATGCTATTGATCAATAGCTCCGCCAGTGGCGACGATAGTGGTAAGGAATGGATCGAGAAATTCGCAAACAGTTTGAGAGTCATCCAGCGCCTTCCCGGGATAGCAGTGGCAGTCCATGGCTGAACCTTCTCTTTCGCGACCTCTATCGATACCATGACAATCGCCAGCTTGTAAGAGACCCTTGAGAGTTAACGAACTTAGGCGACACAGGTGCCAACATCTTGGGGAGTCTCAGCTTATCGCCGTCCCCTTGTCTTCGTTTTTCCTCTGCCTCCTCTAATTGAGCGGCGCGAGCTTTGAACCACGGCAATGTCTCGCTTGCTCAAATTCAAAGTTCCACCTGAGAGCTTTCCGATGCCAGGACCTGCGATGCCACGTTCACGCCGTCCCTTAGTGACTTTCGATTTGTGCGTCGGCTTCTCGAGAATGATTCCATTCTCCTTAGCTTCTCGTCGTCGCTTCTCCTCCTTCGTCAGTGCCTTAGCTTTGATCCCCCTACGGAGCGACGAAGGCATATTCTGCTGATAGAGCGATGTTTTGGCCCCGAGAGACTGCATCCTCAGGTCTAGAGCTTTCAGACGGTTTTTGCCGGTTGGCGCAAGTTCCGATGCGGAGTCCAAAAGGTGAGACTCCTTGAGCAATCGTTGCAAAGCAAGATCATTCTTTAGGTGTTCCGCATCCATAACATCATCATCATCGTCATCCTCCTTTTCGTTCTTGGCCTTTTTGGAAGCAGGTTTTCTGGTTGTCGACTCTGTAGACAATGTAGGTGGCTTTGCGGTCTGGCAGGTTCGTAGAGCTTAGTTAACCATGTATTATTCTAACTCCCATCTAGAAAACATACCATAAAAGCCTTCCGGGCTTTTTTGTCCAGTAATTCCTTCTCCTTCGTGGTTCTGTCCTGGTACTCGACAACCTCAACCTGGTTGCTTTCCTCCTCCTCGGACACACCATCCCATTCCGACCCAGACTCCGATCCATCATTGTAACCCTGCTCGTCTTTTTGCGACTCTTGCCCACAATTGATCTGTCCATCAGGCAACTCTAAGGGCTCAAATTGTGCCTCGAAGAATCTCCGGAACAGGTCATGAGCAGAAGAGGTATCTGGGACAGTAGAGGTCTGTTCTTCGTCTTCTGTCTTGAAAGATCTTGACACAACAGCTGTATCTCTCTTTCGTTTTCCGATCATTTTGAATTGGTCTGTTTAGTGCAAGCGTAGTGTAAGTGGAATCTGGGTCATCGCCCCGAAGCTCCTTTACCGCTTCATTTTTTTTGCGGACATCTTCCGGTCACGTGCGATAAGATAAGCACAGCCCCTCGTCCTATCAAAGACTACTGTGGGTGTTACCACTATTGCCGGAAACCATTCTGTGGGAACAGATTGAACTTGACAAGATGACCAAGTTTCGGCCTTGTATTGACCTTCATTCGGGTCAAGTGAAGCAGATTGTTGGGGGCACCCTGAGTGATAGAGATTCGGACCTAAAAACAAATTACGTATCAAAGCTCCCCGCCAGTCACTACGCAGAATTATATCGGAAGCATGAACTGCGCGGTGGTCACGTTGTGATGCTCGGACCTGGCAACGACGAAGCTGCAAAAGAAGCGCTCTGTACATGGCCGGGGGGGCTACAGGTTGCAGGGGGAATAAATGACAAGAATGCTCAGTATTGGATTGACCAGGGTGCAGACAAGGTAGGTCTTCTTCTCGTTCTGGCTGTATTTGGTCGAACCATCTGTGCTCTCGCTTGGTACAATGAATCTGTAACTCATCTCTATGTAGGTTATAATTACCTCCTTCCTTTTCCCGGAAGGAAAGTTCTCTCTTGAGCGATTGCAGTCCGTTCTCACGGCTCTGGGAGGTGACAGATCCAAGCTGGTCTTGGATCTCAGCTGCCGCAGGAAGGACAACACATGGTTCGTGGCCATGAACCGCTGGCAGACTATCACGGAAATGGAGATTAACCAGGGTATACTTCAATTCATTTCTGTGCTTCTCACTGCACCGAAGCTAACCCTACCCCAGAATCAATCTCAATGCTTGAGCCGTATTGCTCCGAGTTCCTCATTCATGCTGCGGATGTGGAAGGGCTACAGCAAGGTATTGATGAAGAGCTTGTGGCGAAGCTGGCCGAATGGTGCTCAATACCTATCACATACGCTGGTGGGGCCCGAAGTCTGCAGGATCTTGAAAAGGTCCAAGTGAGCAGTAACGGAAAGGTCGATTTGACTATTGGTAGTGCTTTGGATATCTTTGGTGGCTTGGGTGTAACGTTCGATGAGTGTGTGCGGTGGAATCAACAGCATTGATTATGTATCATACATAAACTCTTGCTGGCATATATACAGATAGTGCAAACCTCTACTGGGAAGCTCCATGAGGGGGTCACTCGTACAATAAGGTGTTTATGAGCTAACTCTGTTCAATATGAAGCAAAAGGTGCCTCTCATTAACTGTAAGTGCGTCGAATCGTCAGCCAGAGGATGAAGTCTCGTGTTCATGGCCGGCGCGAACGATCAGGTGTTGCACCGCAGAATGAGAATGGACGAAATCCAAGCTTCTTTTGCTATCCGGCATTTACACCTGGACTTCGGATTCCTGGTGTTCTTTCGCATCCGGATAGTGAGCTCCTTTGTCTTTCTTCTCATTTTCCTTCTTCGGAGGCTCAGCCGGGGGGTAGACGTTCAATGCCAGCTTCTTACTACTCGGTAGAAGCTTGGTGTGCCTCGTGAATAAGAACCCTAAAGCTCAATCAAACTCTCTGCCACGGCAGGTTCTAGTAGTAGCTAGGAGTCAACTGAAAATGCGGCCAACAGTGACAAACATTCAATCCTTTGATTAAGTTCTACAGACGAGCATTTTTCTGTAATCCTCATGCATCTGGCTGATGTTCCTGTACACGAGCGGGTTTAAATCTCCCTTTGGCGGAGTACATGGAGTTCTGAGTCTGCCTAATAGGCATCTTGAGAATGTTAGATCCAACATGTACATTGCCGTCTGATCAATTGAAGAACCCAGCATTCTAGTCATTCTTGTAGATGGAAATGATGTTGATGCTTTCGCCAGTGGATGACGGAAAATGGCGAGCAGACGACGCTCATTGGACCTCACATGCCAAATGCGGCTAAGGTGGATCAATACTACCTGAGCTCTCCGACTCCCCTCTGGAGTGCAAGCGGCAGACCATACGGAGTACAAACATCAAAAGCTCCTGCATCTCCATTATTCGAGCTCTCATGAGCGAAGCCGATAATTCGCAATCGACTTCATATTCAATATATCACCTCCATTGTCTCTTACAGGCCGATTGCCGATCGTTGCGAGGATAAGTCGACCTCTCAGCCAAACCGCATTGCTTGACGTCTATCAATCACTTATCGCACCTCTGGTCACGACAACGTCAAAATGAAGCCCGTTGTATCGGTTCTAAATGCCTGGTCCTGGTAAGGTCATTGTCTCCGTCCAGAACAGAATCAAAATACTAACAAATACGTCCGATACAGCGTGGTCATCTCCGCCTTCGCAATTGTCATTCTGTCCATCCTCGGATCGTTATACAAGGTTCGTCTGCTGCCTTACGTATCCGCTCAACAACCATATATGCTACCTCAGTCCCCTTTGGCTCCGATCACAGAGAACAGTGGATTATTGTGATGGCCTGCTAACGACGTATCCAGAGCGAACACCATGGATTCGTCGGATCGGAAAGCGACCCCGAAGATGGCGGTGCAGTTGCTGCTTCGATCTTCACCGCGGTGGTCATATACGCTGTAAGTCTATCGCACCACCATCCTGCGCATCAAGTACTATGGAGTGGATGTGCTGACACATTGTCGTCGGCAGTGTTTCTTCGTTTTCTGTGCCTTCCAGGCTTACCTGCACACGAGAAGCCGCCGGGGAGGTGCTATATCGCTAAGCTAGACAATTTCTTATATATTCCTCGCAAGAAAACATGGAACTCGCCGTTTGACTTATGTCCGTCTTACGAAACAAAGGGATATGTCAAGTGCCTCTGGGGACGCTCATGAATGTGTGTATCTCTTCCGATTCGGCTCACGACGGCTGTCGATCAGATGACGATTACATTATCTGCTGAGCCTTCGTTCCGGCGATTGTGATGTCCGTGATTGCTTTAATCAGGTGTGGTGTTCTTGCTTCAACGGTATCTGTCCTCGACGATTTTAGAGCACACTTTCTTTACCGTGGTTTGTCCGGAGTACATATTGTGTCGTTGTGTTTGACATAGAGCTGCTTCAAATCTATTTTTTACTGTCACAGGGACAATTACAGATAGCAGAACTGGGCCTCGCACAAAACAGTATCCAACTCTATCATTTCGAGGTCTTGGAAACTGGGAAGAACAAAAGGACTATCAACATATTCACATCCAATGATGAAAAGCAGGGGTTAAGACATGTACCGGGATCGAGATTGTAATGCATCGAACCACTAAACGCCATGATGCAAGAAACGCCTGAAAACACCCAATGATGCCATGTACTCTCGGCAGAACCCGACTTTTTGAGAGCTCAACTTTTCGAATCCATTGTCATATCAGTTTTCGACATCAAACAAAGACAAAACGCTATCGTGCTTATCCGAGTTAGAATTCTTCGTCTTCAATTGGGTCGAGCATCTTGGACATGTAAGGACCGTCCAGTGTGTACCCGAGACGAGCATAGTAGCTGCGGACACCGACTCCCGAGATGACGCTGATCTTTCGGCTTCCGTGTTCTTCTCGCGCGATCCGCTCGGCCTCCTCCATTAGCAAGGTTCCAAATCCTCGGTGCTGGAACTTCCGCGGATCGCGGCCGTGGAGCGGTACCGCAGAGCCATATACGTGGAGCTCTCGCACAATACTCGTCTGCTGGCCAGTGAATTCCGGACGGAAAGTGTGAGTCGTGCTGCACTTTCGCAGGCGCAGTAAGCCGATGAGAATATCCTGCTTAGGATCTTCATAGGCGAGGAACGTTTCCCAACCACCGTTGGCAGTATAGTCTCGACGGATGAGCTCCACTTGCGAGGGGCGGATTTTGTTTTTTACTTCATTGATACCAACTTCGCGGGTGCGCACATCACGACATGTTGTACCAAAGTCTTTCATGCGTGCCAAAGCCAGTTCTCGAAGGTTGCCATTCTCCACGCCGGAAGTGACCAGAGGCATGGGAATATCTCGCTGCACACGGTAGATACGCGTCCACGGAGGTACTAGCGCAAGGATTCGAGCGACAAGATCTACCAGCGCGTTGGGGGTGTAGTTCTTGTAGCGACCCGTCCTCCAAAGCTCATACAGGCCTGTACCCCGAATGACCAGTGTCGGATAAATCTTCAGACCGTCCGTACGGAAGGCTGGGTTTTCAAAATATTCCTGAAACTGGAAAAGATCCCGTTCCATGCCGACATTCGGCAGATCCGGCATCATGTGGCTAACGACCTTGAACCCAGCATCCTTGGCGAGCTTGAATGTCTCTGCCACCGCAGCGACAGTATGGCCTCGATTCGTATCCCGCGCAACATCTTCATACAAACTTTGCACGCCAATTTCCAATCGCGTGCACCCATATCGAAGCATATCACTCAGATGAGTATCCAAACAGTAATCAGGCCGCGTCTCGATCGTAATACCCACGCATTTTATGTTGCTCATTTCGCCTGCCTGAACAGCCTCGTCAACATTGTCCGTCTGGTACCCACTCAGCGCATTGTGAAGCTGAGCGATGAAGGATTCTCTGTAATCCGGCGGAAGAGACATGAATGTGCCACCCATGACAATATATTCCACTTTGTCCACGCTATGGCCGAGAGACTTGATCTGATCAACCCGACCTCTCGCTTGTTCAAACGGATCGTACCGTGCTCGGATAGCGCGCATCGATGTCGGCTCGTAGCCAGTATATGACTGTGTCGAATACTCAAAATCCGAATCAGGTCCACCAGGGCAGTAGACACAAATGTTACCGGTGTAGGCAATATGCGGACAACGGTGAGGTTTGCTCATCACGGCGACAACGGCAATTCCCGACGACGTCCGAATAGGCTTCGCGATGAGCTTGGGTAAGATATATTTCTTGTATTGTTCCGGCACGGCGGCGATAATAGCTGTCAAGGGAGGTTGCGTAGCCAGGCGATGCTTCTTCGCGATTTGGCCGCGCAGCTTGTTGAGGTTGATATCTTTCCTCGGTTTGGATGAATCCCTCTGCGCTTCATATTCCTGAATGAGCACGTTTGCAATATCAGAGCAAGCTCGCATATAACGTTCATTTTCTGGTGGAAGTTTCTCGTTGCCCTTCTTGGGTTTGGATGGTGGCGGCATTGTCATGGTGAGGGTCGCCATTGTGAAATGGATTACTGCGACGATCGCAGATCAAAATAGACCCTTAAAATCACAATGCAAGAGTTGAATGGTACTATAAAGTCCAATACTAATCTTCCCAGCTAGATAAGCTAGGATGAAGGAATAGTCACGATACCGCTGGACGGAGGGGCAGATTTGTTATCGGCAATATTTGTATGTGCTCAGGTATTAAATTGATAGGAGAGAGATGGGAAAAAAGGATCGCCAAGAGAGCCAACCCGACCGCCGCGACAAATCGGATCCGCTTAAAGCTTTGTCCCGAAAAGTCCAAACCCCAAACCCATCCCGGCGCGTTTTCCTGCTGAAGTGTCCCATGTCATTTTGATATATTCTGCAGAGCTTCCCCAGATCTTCAGTTCTTTTCTAGCACACTTACCGGTGCACTCTCCCCTCTATTTTTCTATCCTTTGCATCTCATAGGCAACTATGCAGGCTTTCCGCCGTAGTACCCTCTCTGCCCTTCAGAATGCCGCTGCTGTGCAGCGACGAGCTTACAGCCAGGGCAGCTCGATCTACTCTGAGACCGTGAACAACCTGCGCATTAATGCAGACACCAAGGTTCTCTTCCAAGGTTTCACTGGAAAGCAGGGAACGTATGTTGCGGCGATATCTTGCCTTCCCATTTCAGATCCATACAAAGATGCTGACGTTGCTTTTTTTTTTTCCGCTACAAACAGTTTCCACGCCGAACAAGCCATTGCCTACGGTACATTACGATTAACCCCTTGATCTTGGTTGTGCCGGTCTACGACAGGAGTTCAGGAGCTTACAATTCCCAGGAACCAAGGTTGTCGGTGGTACCAACCCCAAGAAGGCCGGTACGATGCACCTTGATAGACCTGTTTTCGCAAATGTCAGCGAGGCTGTGAAGGAAACTGGTGCCACTGCCTCTGCTATCTTTGTCCCGTATGGAATCATAATCTCCCGTTTCCGTCGTTATCGGAATGACTGATACTGATATATTCCAGTCCCCCTCTCGCCGCTGCGGGTATTGAGGAGGCTATCGCGGCCGAGGTTCCCTTGGTTGTTTGGTGAGTTGTGCTCCCATTTCAAGAAAACGCCGTAAATCAGCATCGCTGACGCCGATGTTCCGCATTTCGCAGCATTACCGAGGGTATTCCCCAGCACGGTAAGTCTCTTTGCTCCGCGCAATATAGCTTCTTTTGACGCAATAACTGACTCGGAATCAACAGACATGGTTCGCATCACGGATATCTTGAAGACTCAGAACAAGACCCGTCTGGTTGGACCCAATTGCCCTGGTATCATCGCTCCTGTAAGTTCATTCGCATCCGAATTTGTGATATTCCTAGGTCGTGCGGCGTGTTGATGTACTCCTTTCTATGTCGTAGGGCCAATGTAAGATTGGTATCATGCCTGGATTCATCCACAAGCGTGGTCGTGTCGGTATTGTGTCTCGGTCCGGAACCCTGACGTACGAGGCTGTCAACCAGACCACCCAGGCCGGTCTCGGCCAGTCCCTCGTCGTTGGTATCGGTGGTGACCCCTTCTCCGGTACCAACTTCATTGACTGCCTGAAGATCTTCCTCGAGGATGAGGAGACAGACGGTATCATCATGATTGGTGAGATCGGTGGTAGCGCCGAGGAGGATGCTGCCGAGTTCTTCAAGGCCAACAACAAGCACAACAAACCCGCTGTTGGTTTTATCGCTGGTATTAGCGCTCCTCCCGGTCGTCGTATGGGTCACGCCGGTGCTATCGTCAGCGGTGGTAAGGGTGGTGCTGACTCCAAGATTGCGGCCCTCGAGAGCGCCGGTGTCACTGTGGAGAGAAGCCCTGCCCATCTTGGTAAGACTCTGCTCGCTGAGTTCGTCAAGCGGGATCTGGTCTAGATGGACTCCCAGTGAAAGAGTTCTCCATTTGTCCCTCAGGCAGTGTGGCTTGGTTTGGGCCTGTTAATGTTGGATTGCAAGGTGGTGCGTGACTGCATTAGGGTACCTTATACTCCTCATACCTATTATTACCCCCAGGACGGTCTCTTCTTTTGTCCGTGTATTCCTTGGCCAAATGTACCTTTCCTTTTTTTCCTTTCTCGTTGTTTAGAGTTGATAAGAAGTAATTAGCTTCGATATGTAAATTTTGTCGTTGTTTATCCCTTTTGTAAAGACCCAGATTGTACTATATCTCTGGCTACGTCAATCTCGTCGCTGCAGCTGTCTTTGCGGCGGATCATCTCCTCCATAGTCACTGGATGAGCAATCAGTCCCATTGAAAGCCTCGGGCATGCAGGTATATATATCAACTGGAACGTGGGATGTCTCGCTCGAGGACTGAGACGGGTGAAATTGGATGCATCCGTTTTGTTGTAATTGTATATCCTGTCCCTGGCTCGCCCTGGCCGAATTATGTTCATTCAGATGACCTTGAACGCTCAAGTTCAACCATAAATGGATCAGTGACTAGACTAAATAAATATTCGACCCCGCTTGATTTCACTTGTATCTACGTAGTTAAATTGAAAAGAAACAGACCCATGTTCGATTAAAAGGTGGTTGCATGCTACTCCTAGTGCAGCCTGGGGACCTGTATATAATCCTTGTCTCCCAAAACAGTGAGACATCCGATCTGGACTCATCAGACCGTAAACTATTGGTCCTACATAATGTCATTCTAAGTACCTTGCGATATTGATTATGTTCGATCATTCCTTGTCATTGAGCAAAATAATGTCAAGAGTATATTGTGTCCTATCCTACAACCACTTTGCTGTCACAAGGGCACAGCTATTCAGTAAGTGCTAGCAACTTCCCCAGGAATTTGAATTTGTCTCACTGCTAACAGGCCAAATCTACTATCTTCTGATGGACGAATTATGAATAAACGGTGATCATCACTTTGAGATTCCATTCCAATGGTTTGTTGTTTTGGAGATCTGCCTGAGGAATGATCCTTACCTAATCCGCACGTGACCGTTGCTTGAGGAACCGCCGCCTCTGTTTATTCCACCTTTGCACACTCAAAACTTATGACCAGACTGCAACCACGGCCACTATGAGCCTTCGATAGCGTGTTTGCGACTGCTATAACGACCTGATTTCATGTCTTGACGAACCCATCTCCGAAATCACGAAGCTAACCCTCCAGCCTTTTTCCTCCATCGGTCTTCTGTGGTGTGAGTTCGAGTGATTGAGTTGAGGTGGCTGTAGACCCGATCATCAAAACAGACACCATTGCCCGTGGTTACCAACCTACTCGCACCCAGCAACTAACAAAAACACAACCACCTAGTCGGGTAGTGTGTAGCAGACCCTCCACTATGGCTCATGAGATGGGTAAGATGTTCCTGCGTCTCTTTCGGTGATCTGAGGCCTCTACTTTTCATCTGATCTCTCGTCGTTACTGCCCTGCCGCTAGCCTGTCTCTTTTAGCCTCCGCCTTCCGTCCGGTGTTGCTAATCCGTAGTCAAAACAAACAGGGCGAGCGGCATCTCAATGCTCGAGTGTCGCATCGCAAACAACACAGTTAGCAGGACCGCATAGTCGTCCTGGCACGGCAGATCCTATGCGAGCGCGGTCAGAAGCTGTGGTTTCACGAAACAGCCGCCGACCAAGGTCTAGAGGATCAACCGCCAGTATCCATTCCAGCACCACGCAACAAACACAGGACCAGCAGATCACCGATGGGTTTTCGCAATTCATGCCCTCCCAATCTGCCGCTGGTCACAATGTCTTCGCGAGTAATCCTGAAGACATCATTATCCGGTTTGGCCAGCAGATCTCGCATCCCGTGAATGGCACCTCGCTCGATCCAACACTCCAAGATCCTCATCATTCAGTGCTCCCTAGGGCAGAGGAATTTCCGAGCCATGCGATGCACGGGCATAGCCTCTCTCACCATTCCATACCTTCAGGCCTGTCGCATCACGGTCTGCCTGCCATGCCGATCCCTCAGTATCAAGCGATTTACGATAATAATATTGAAAATCACTTGCCAGAGCATGTGCTGGAAGACAATGAGAACTCGGAGACTGGTGCAAAGAAGAAGAAAGGTTCCAATTCATCCCTAGCGAACGACAATGAACTGCGAAAGTTGCTCCGTCAGTACGAAGGCTATTCGCTCAAGCAAATGGCGGCAGAGGTTTTGAAACATGAAGGGGCTGGGGGCAAGGCCGAGAAAGTTAAGCAGGTCTTTGCCATGATCTGGTAAGCGGACGCGCGTTTCCCATTGTTATCGGCAGGAAATCAGTACTCATGGATGCTTAGGTTGAAAGAGAATTGCCGGAAGAGCAGCGGTTCCGTCCGACGAGACCGTGTTTACTGTTGCTATGCAGAGAAATGTGGCACCGAACGTGTTTCAGTCTTGAATCCGGCTTCTTTTGGTAAACTCGTGCGCATCATATTTCCGAATGTGCAAACCAGACGTCTTGGTGTTCGTGGAGAATCCAAGTACCACTATGTGGATTTAACGGTCATCGAGGAAAAACAGCAAAAGCCGCCGCCGTTGAACCCGCAGGTCTCGTCGATCACCAATGGCCAAATTGGTGGTAGCATAGAGAACAAACTTGACGGAGCCATGCAGAAGAGGTTTGTCAATTACATACTTGATAGTCCGGGAAGAAGCAGCTTACATGTTGTTCCAGTATTCTACCACCGCCGCCAACAGATACCGCAGTGTTTCCTTCACCAACTGCGTCATTTACACCTAGGTTCTCAACGAGTTCCTCGAACGCAGGGTGTAGCTGCCAAGACACGACTAGTTCCAACGGTGACCACAGCATTACGCTCGAGAACGTCGGAAACCATTCTGGGAAAATGATTCATCAGATGCTCCACCTACCGTCCGCCGAGGGCACGTCTGTGGACAACGACTCCTTCCAACTGCCTGATATACGGGGCTATCTTCCCGGCAATACTGACACTAAGGTAGCGGCGGCTCTTGCAGCCCTTTACCGCTCCCATTGTATCTCCGTAATTGATAGCTTCCGCTACTGCAAGGAGCGGAACCTCCTCCGCTATTTCTCCGCTTTTCATGGGACCTTGACGGTTCCAGTACAGAAGCTGCTGACACACCCAAACCTCGCTCCCTGGATCAAGGAGTGTGATTGGCTCATGTACCAGAAGATGATTGCATTCGTGGCACCACTCACCACGCAGGTTGTTCCCAAACTTGTCCTGGACGCTTTTAGCTCGATATCGCAACGGCTGACTGCTCATATTGGTGAGACATTCAAAGCGCAACCTGCACATGTCAGCCTGGCAAGGTTAATACCGGCCCATATTTTCTGCAATCTGCTCAGGCACATGCTTGATGTAAACCAATCAGCCAATGCGGCCGCAGCATGGCTGTGCCATCCTGACAATAGGAACCAGATGTGGTTCGATTTTAAAACGCTTGTTGATCCAAAGGAGATGATCTCACGAGCGAACATTCCCACATGCGCGGAGCGGGCGGCAGAGCAGATACTGAAACATGACGTCCGAGCTCTGCTAACTCCTGTGGACGACCTGAACCCCTCTGCCTCTCACCCGTTCTTTACAAAGCCAGACACGGAAGCGGATCGCGCGTCTCATAAATATCCTGTCGAGGCGTCCGCCGGCGAGGAGTACAACTTTCCGGATAAGTGGATATCTTTTATACTAAACCTATCCTCCGCATTTCCCCACCATCGCACGCAATGCATCATCGAAAAGGTCGACGCCTTATGGGATTGCATTCTCCGTCGATTGACCCTTGGCGGTGCGCAAAGCTTCAGCGCCTGGTGGATGACGAAAGTTTTCTTTCACGAGATGATGTTATGGCAGGCCGAAAAGAATGGTTTTATGCGTTTCACACCGAGCACCTTGCAAAACATGAGTTATGCCTCTGACCAGCCCGGTCCGCCCAATTTTCTGCTGAAACAATCCAGCGGACCATCTAATGAGAAGAATGACCCTTTTAGCGCCTCTGATGCGCAGCAGGCTAGTGACCGGTCAAGGTCCACTACAAGTCCTTCATCCGCGGATGTGAATCCCCAACCCAGTATATCGCTCAATCGACCGCCGTCAGACGCAGGCCCAAATCAAGCTTCGGTGGAGACTGAAAAGCCGCCTAGCATCGCTGACAACATTGCCAGCTTTCACGCTCCCAATAATGACGATAGTGCTATTGACCTTGACGATGATTCAATGCTCATGTCCGTGGGCAAATATGGTGATATGATGGCCTCTGACCCAGCAGACGCTGAAGGAGATGTTGTCGTCATCTAGATGCTCATGCATATTTGCCGCATTTTACGCTTATACTTTTGGACACACGGCTCATTTTTTACGGAGTTGGATTCGGATTTGAGGAGCATCTTTTGGTTGACTATTTACGTTCACGTATAAGGTTCGGCGTTGGACGTTCTTGCACGAGGGATGAAACGAGCATCGAATTCGACAGACATAGGTCTGGAACACTGGGGTTATTCAGTTGACATTCAAACTCATTAATAGCGTGTTGGATTCCGCTTCTTCTTTCAGCATTTCTCTTTTGCCTCCGATTGGGAACACGAGACCGACGTTGATGTACATAGGATTACGGTCGATTTTGTCTGCCGAGATGGTTTACAGCTTTTTGACGGTCTTGGCCTTGGTTTACAGCGTCCACTTCTTCCTATACCGCTCTTTCTAATATTCTGCTTCGGGCGATACCCCGGGTTCGCGCTGCCTCTTTTGCATCGAAATACCACTTGTCGACGGGTTTTGCATTGTTCCGGCAACTGAGGTGGTCGAGCAGTCTCCGCTAATTCGATCCAAGGAATTATGCGCGATGTCAGCTATTCGGCATAGATTTAGGACTGCTCCCCGTCACAGTGAGTCATGCCACCTGTCGTCGCGGCAAATCGATCTTTACATTTCCCTCAGGGAACAGTCGTACTCCTTGCAAGGCTTTCTGCCCAACGCGGATTCCGCATGGCGTTTAGTGCCTCTGCCGCGCAGGAGAGACGCTCGACCTGGCATAAGATCAGAATGATTGACCTGAACTGTATGGTGGACTTGCGGCGCTTGGGCTTTGCACTTCGTTTTATGGAAATACCGTGGAGTATCATGTAATCAAACGTTACATATCCTCTGAATTCTGACTTTCCTCTTTTCATGGTCACCGTCCGTACACTCATACAATTTGCGAAATTTGGAATACATAAAGAGGTACGCAAACAACCTAGACCCGTAACGTAAACGCCATCCCGACCCACGAATTTTGGACCTCTATCGCTTTTGGTAAAATGGGATGACATAGTGTGCTTACACGAACAATTAATGACTCTTTGGCTCACTGAAAGGAAACGAGGCTGTAGGAGGACAGAATGGATGGAGAGGACACTTCGAAGTTATGCATGAAATGTTGCTTGTTGAGCTGGGCTACCGCATTGTCCTGATGGGACGTCTACCTAAATTCTCCAGCGGGGAAGAATCGAGGACCAGCAAAGCCGTACGTAATGATACTCCGAATATCGATATTGCCATCGTTGCGGGGGTTCCAGAGCTTGATCAAGATGTATCTGCCAGAGCTATTGAGGATGGTCAGCGAACTTTGAGTGATGGGATTCAACAGGATTTCGGAATTCGTACGCCGGTGGATCAAACTTGATGCTGACCATGCTCTTTGCTCGCTCTATGAAGAAGCGAGCATGGGGCTTTAACACAGGCGGAGATGATGGGCCTACAGGTCGAGACTCTAGGGGCGCGGATGATGCAGCAGGTTCGACACGATTGGGGATCCGACGCCGCCTTTCGAGCCCGCGCTGTTCCATCTCGTACGACCATTCCACGGCCTCTATACGCTGTAGCATTTCATCACGTCTCCGGTAAAAGGTAGCCTCGTCGGAAGCAACCCCTCTTTCAGTTTCACTCTCATCGCTTTCGGAGCCGTCAACATCATCCGCATCATCCTCATCGTCCATATCACAGCCATCATCATTATCAGAAACACCATCATATTCAGTCGTTACCTGAAACTCAGCCATGGGATCGGGTGCATCGGGGCCTGCTATGGTGCTGATGTCGCTATCAGAATCCGAAGGAGAATCTGTATTTCCAAATACGGCTCTTTCCAAAGTCTGAAGAGGCGTCCGGAATGCGTTCAAATATGCCTCAGAAGGCTGCAGACCAGTACGTCTGCTCCGATTAGAACGGCGAGGGGCCGGCCTAAGAATCTTGAACGCGGCGGTACGTGCCAAGACATCATCATACGCCATAGACACGAACACCATTCCTTCCTGGACTCTAAAGAGAACGGTCAGTAGATACGAGACAAGTGCACGAGTGACTGCTCGAGATGGGACATACGGAGCATTGTATCCAGATTTTGGAGCCTTGATGTCAATCTTGCTCAAGCAGAAGGGGGCGTCTCCCCGATGTTTTAGAATAAGATTGCATCGATCTGACTTTGTGCAGTAGACAGCTGAATCATTGCGCAAGATGTTCTCTGGCCACGAATTCTCGCCGTCAGAATCATCATATGTCCCGCCGTCGCACATTTTGATTTCCATTTTGAGAGCCCCAGGTACTACTTGGCCATAATGGCCATAGCGGAAAGCTTGGGGCCCTTCTCTTTTATCATCTGACTCGAGCTTTCTGCGTTTGGCCCTCCGACTGTCCCCCTGCAGGTCGGTGCCTGGTTCTAGCGGCATCGCAGAAATTGTTTCATCGAGCGGTACGAGCTCGTCAAGAAGGGATTGTGCCTCGGGAGCTCTGTTTCGTCCTTCTTGGAGTCGATGTCGCATGGGCCGACGTCTGGAAGGTCTGCCGTCACTAGTTGATCGTATGGAATTTGAAAGAGCTGTGCTAGGATTCAATCCCGCGACATCGATAGTTGAGGACCTCTGTGTCACTAGTCGTGGGTAGCCTATGTGATCAGCACTGCGCGTCTGTTCCTCTCTGTGAGGTGTGGCTGCCTGCAAAAGTTGGATCTGACGATCTACAGCTTCTCTAGCTTGCTCAAAGCTGGTCCAGTTGCGGGCTCGACTGGAACGATATTCCTCTATCTCCTGGTTGAGTATCTCCAAAGCGCGGGTAGTCGCTGAACTATCCAGATGACGCTCAGAGCTCAATAAATCCCTCAGATGTTGTAAGCGATTTTCAGTAGGTGGCTGAGATCTGTCGGAAGTTCGACTTGCGCGAGGGACACGGCGAGAGGCAGGAGGGTAATCGTAGTTCCCCGACTACAGTGTGAATATATAACAGTCAACTTAAGATGTCAGAAATGGGGCTCCACGAAATAACTTTTGAGGCTCGATAGAATCGACCAAGGAAGTGAATGTAGGATGCAGAAATGCTCTGAGTTACCCACGCACCATTCTATGAAATTAATATGCCGTCAGCTGGCGTGACAGGTCGAACCGCTCAAGAGGCGGGGATGCACTATACCAGTATGATTGAAGAATGTAAGAGGCACAGAGAGATACCGAGATGATTATTGAGAAAGACGAGACCCAGTCAAAAGAGGAATGACCTGACCAGAAGCTTGAACTCTGAGAAATAATGAGGACAGGTAAAACGACTGAGAAATGGAACAAAGAAAGTTGTCAAGGCTTTGAGTTACAAGCAGACCATCAGCCAGAACTCAGACGATGTGGAGGAGGAGAAGAAGGAGAAGCTTAGTATTATTGATAACAGCGGGAAATGATGCTTCAGTGAAATGCGATAACTTATCGGCCATGATGTGCGGCACGTGATTCCAGGATAAGGAACTGGCATTCCTCATTCAACACTCCCTCTGAATGCCTTCATTGTCTTCTCTAAATTCACTAGCTCCTGAATAGCTTTGCCGGCTATCTGCATGTGAATGGCATTCAAGGCACTGGACGCTTCCCCGTTGCTCTTCTACCCTCTCCCTGGTCCTCTCTCTTCCTGGTGATCCTTCTCATCTACACCTCCGGACTTCATTCATTTATCAAGGACAGAAGATCGGCGTCACTTTAGCTGAAATCAGTTATATTGCAGGCGACACATTGACTGTCTCTTGCGCAATCTGTTACCTCAAGAACTGCTCTCTTCAGACCCGACTTATCGAGCGCCGAGCGCGATTATCTTACTGTCACAATCATTCTCAACAAAGACACCGGATTCATTGGATTAGGAAAGCAGCTCAAGGAAACCATTCGCGTGCTCTTGTAACCCTTCAAACGCCGACCAGCAAGCATGGCATCGTCGCTAGAAAACGCAGCCCAATCGATCAGTGCTGGTAGGTGCACATTTCCCAACGACGGAGAGCCCCGGGCTATATGTGTCTGACATGCTATGATCATCAGATGAGATTGCTCTCTATGATCGCCAAATCCGTCTTTGGGGGGTCAAGGCCCAAGAGAAGTGAGTACTCTGAATTCCCAGCCTTGCGCGTTTGGGAGCTGATTCTGATTACCCTTCGTTTTAGGATTCGGTCCGCAAATATCCTTCTGATTACGTTCAAAGCATTGGCAAATGAAATCGCGAAGAACCTCGTTTTGGCAGGCATCGGTACTCTTACTATAGTCGATCATGAGACTGTCAAGGAAGAGGACCTTGGAGCTCAATTCTTCATATCCGAGGAGCATGTTGGTCAGAATGTACGTTGTCAATCGCGGGAAATTCCAAGTGAGGCAACATAAAAGCTAATCATGAGGACAGCGCGCCCAAGCTGCGGCCCCGGCGATACATGCGATGAATCCTAGAGTTCAGCTTCGGATCGACACAGAAGATATCCAGACGAAGCAGCCGGACTTTTTCGAGCAATTCGATGTTACCATCGCTACGGAGCTTGACTTCCCAACTTACTCCACAATCAATGCCGCATGCCGCATCTCCAACCGTCCATTCTATGCTGCCGGTTTGCATGGATTCTACGGCTTCGCATTCGCCGATCTGATTTCTCATGACTTCGTCATTGAACGTTCTAAATCGAATGTTTCGCCGTCAACCCAAGAGACGCCCACCAGAAGCATCATCAATATCACCACAAAGAAGGAAAATGACAAAATCATCGAGATGGTGACCAAGCGGGAAATCTACTCGCCCCTCATCCTAGCAAACACATCACCTCTCCCTGAGGACTTGACCCGACTGCCCAGACGACGGAGACAGGTCACGCCACTTCTGACATGCCTTCGGGCATTGTGGGAGTTCCAGAAGCTTTCCGGAGGCAGATTGCCTACGTTCTCCCGGCAAGATCTTGAACTGTTCACCAAGCTGGCTCGTGACCGTCACCAAGAACTGAAGCTTGACATCAGCACTTTGGACTCGGAATTTCTACGGAACTTTTTACAGAATCTCGGTAGCGAACTGAGCCCGGTGGCGGCGTTTGTTGGCGGTAGCCTCGCGCAGGACGTGATCAATGTGCTGAGCGCAAGAGAGCAACCACTACAGAACCTCTTACTATTCGACGGTGACAAGTCCGTCGCACCCATCTACCCTTTGCATCCTTTCTTCCCACCAGAGATGGAAAATGCTCTTTCTGCCATGCGTCCTGTTGTGAATGCAATTCCCATAAACGGCGAACCAATCGCGGCTCCTCTACCTACGAATCTACCTACAAATATCTAAAACTTCCCAATTGTCCCGGTTGCGAGTTGACCGGCGAGTCGGAAGATTACACGCACTCTCGAGGCTGCTCCTCTTGTCTTCCTTTTACGCACACACGTGTTTCAATACTTTTATGACTTGTACGATAGGTTCGTGGAAATGAATCTGGAAAAACGATCTCAATATAGACCCCGTCGTTTTCTTGATACATGCCGACATGAATATCAAAAAAAGCGTTGGCCTTCTCAATTATCCGATTAATGATTCTTGTAAAGCCATTCCATCCATCCGGTATATATACAAGCCAAAACAGATCGCCGATGGAGTCAGGAAGTATGGAAAAGCAGGGTACCAAATCCAGCAACGCCATTTCCAACAAGCACAAAGAATCTCAATCACATCATAGTCATCAGAGCGAGATAGATTATTCTCTAGTTTGAAAAATATGAAGTAAGGGTCTTTTGGTGTATTCAGAACGTAGATTGTCTCCTTGCGAGCCCACACAAAGATAAGCGACGAAGGAACAAGTTTCCGGCAAATCAGGCCGACGACGCCTCCTTTCCAACCAAAGGGGCGCTTTCTTCGTCTTCCGCTTTTCGGGGACCCATGACGTGGTTTCGGTTACCGGGCACGTCCTCATCTTCTTCGTCGGAGATAAGACCCTGCAACTCGAATGCCTCGGCGTCATGGACCTGCTGAGTCTCGGACGCCGAGCGGGCGTGGCCGTTAATAAAGGTAGAGTCCTGAACCGGGTCTGTGGTGCTTGAAGACCGAGAATGGGCAGAGGGCTTGGCGGAGTTGGGCCATGCGTGGACAGCGTAAATATGTAGAAGGATATTGACGACTACGTCGAGGTTAGAATAAGAACTAGCAGCCTAAAAGAGGACAAAAGGAGAAAGACGATCCACTTACAGAGGAAGAGAATGAAGGCAATGCTGTACAGGATCAGAACATAGGACACGTGGGTGATTCCAGCATCGTGGAGCAGCTGCATTTGCTCCTCTGTTGCGCCCATGAACAGGAAGCCAGATGCGTACAGGAGCTGTGAAAATAACTTGTCAGCCCAAACTACGTCCGAACGCCTAGTTCAAGAAGACAGATGCAAGATGAACTTACAAAAGGAGGCAGATATTGGAAGCTGTTAGGGTCCGAGCCGTCGAGGCTCACAGTATTTTTGTCCTTCAGCACAAAGGCAATTTCAATGATTCTGGTAAAACCAGCAGCCATCAATGTGTAGCCGAAAATGGAGTGAATCATGGTACTGATCATCAACGTCTGGGGATGAGCCGACATCGCATAACCGGTCAGCAGAATAACGATTGCGGGGATGAGATTCCGCTTGGGGCGGCCATTTCTCTTCCTGCTCATCCAAATACCCAAAAGACCGGCACACCACCAGACGATGCCCATAGTGGTATGCTGCAGATCATTGTGTACCCATGGTCCTCCCCAACGATGCTCCGTAAAAGTGTTGACGCATCCCCAGGCCGCGATGACCAGGGAGTCGAAGAACTCTTGACTGCGGCCGGTGCGGCGCAACCAGTACTGACCAACAAGCAGCAGGATAGTAAGCATGATACCATAGGCAATGAACGCACTGCCCATGATAAAATGCGCCAAACATTGTCCGAGATGATCACCCTGGCAGAAGCCATTCGCCGCGATACCCCCGAAGAGCATCTGCGTCCAGCTCACAATCGGCATCGCCTTGCCGAGAACGCCGTGCAGCACCACGAAGAACCGACGGATCCGACCATGGATTCCTTTGGAGAGATGTAGCTTGAGATAAAGACCGATAACGACTTGCACCACAAGCATAAGCATCAACAGGTTCGCGAACGAGGCATGCACGTTCTTTCCGAACTGACGGCCCTTGTGAGCGTGGCCTAGGAAGTATGCGACGACTGCGATAACCGTGCCGACAATCTGAAGAGGGACATGCCACCGCGAGCGAACAATCTAGGCAAAACAAGTCGTCAGTCCAACGTCGGTGCAATCTTCTGCGACCGGTCACTATCGACGGCCAAGGCAATGAACATACCCCAAGTACCATTCCCAGAGGGAAGATGATGCCAAAGGTAAATCCCATCAAGATCATATGAATCCATAATGTCGAGTCCTACACCGGAGGGCAATGTTAGTCCGTTTGCTCTCGCCCCTCAGGGCAGAATAGTAGCGGAGTGCGAACGACACGACACGTACAATAGGATCTTTGGAGACGGCGGCACCCTCGGGAACACTCTCGTGGCCGCCATGAGCTACGACGGACGATGCCAGGAGAAGGGCAACAAGCGCCCCTCGTAGGTCCAATATACCCATCATCTTCTTCACCAAACTCGAGAAGAGGTTGAGAGGGAGTTGAGGGAAGAAGGGAAAAAAGAGAGCAGAGGGTCGATGGACAAAGATGATGTCCTCCGTCCTGGTGGAGCCTTCAAGAGGTGCGGATAAGACGGGGACGATTACGAATGCTCGATTCGGCCAGGAATTCGGAGTGTTCGGATTGGCCGGTGATGGTTGTTTACTTTAGTTCTATATGTTCGACAGCATTGGTGATAACCAGAGGAATGGATTGTTGATCAGAAAGTAATCTACCAGAGTTAAAGCAGTATATAATGATGCTGCTGTACTGTTTCAACATAGTGAAGATCTTGCTGTTTGTTCTGTATAGCGAAGCCTCTACCGAACAAACAACAGCATCTCATTTTTATCTGAAAACATCCCATCGACAAATATCTTGTGTCGACTAACCATTCCCTGAAAAGCAACACTATCGGAAATTTCCTGCCTTGCTCTTCCCATGGCCTCTCCAGGGAAGAATAGCCCCCTGCAGCAAACCACCGAAAACAGCGATATACTAGACCTCGCGCATCTAACCTCCGAACAGCGGACCCAACGGGACAAGAAGATCGTATGCTTTTTTTTAATTGACATGTGAGGAGCAGAACGAGTCCCAGCAGAAGCTGATAACAAACAGAAAGCAATACAGGCCTCCATCGCGGACCTCCACTCGCAAACCGCTCAACTTGAAGCTCAAATCGCAGAGATCAAAGCGAAGTTGAAGTATATTCCCTTTCTCGCTCATGTTGGTTATGTCTAGAAGGGAGATCTAATGCTGACATTTTCAAAGACATGATCCCTCAACTACGGTGAAACGCCATATCCGTCTGCTCCACGAGTACAATGAGATCAAGGACATCGGACAGGGTCTGATGGGTCTCATAGCTGACGCGCGTGGGATGCGACAGGTTGATGTGCAGAGGGAGTTTGGGGTGGGGGATCGAGATTGACGCTTCTCGTCTCCTGACACTGTACGATGGACATGATGTCTGAGGTTCAGCTGGCAGATTCCTCGGACAAGACTGTTTGTGATGATTCTTGTTCTTCGTTCCCCCTATGTGGATATGCGTCAAAATGAAGAACATGATAAGTTCGAAGTCGTGTTCAATTAGGAGAAGAGTGCGATGCAAGATTCTGTCCTATCGCCCACCCAAGTAGAAGTGATACCCAGTCAACTCCAATGATAGCTCTATAATAAGGCGCTTTAAGTAACGAAGATGAGGATTAGGTACAATGAAGAGGACAATCAAGCTGGAAGATTTTACAGGGGAATCATAGACACATAAGCGGGGTGGTATATCCACAGTATTTTCAGCACCAAGAATGACATGATTGAGCAGGGAGGAGGAAGATATTAAAAAGATTTGTACGGCATGAGAAGAAGGGGAAAGGGAAGATTAATGAGTCTTTCCCAGACTCTGCAGATTGACCAGCTCGTAATACCGGCCCTTGTTTCGAATCAACTCGTGGTGCGTGCCACTTTCGACTATCTTGCCTTGGTCGAACACGTAAATTATATCGGCCTTTTGAATGGTGCTCAGCCGATGGGCAACAGCAATCGTTGTCCGCCCGCGGGCAGCAGCATCCAGCGCAGCTTGTACGACTTTCTCTGACTCGGAGTCGAGAGCAGATGTGGCTTCGTCCAGAAGAAGGACCTTTGGGTCACGCAGGAGGGCACGAGCAATGGCGACACGCTGTTTTTGTCCACCAGACAACATGCCTCCCTTGCTGCCAACGACGGTGTCAAATCCCTCACTGTTGTAGCATGTTAGCAGAGCCGCCAGGCATGAAAGGAGTCGGCGAGACAGTAAACTTACGGAAGTGACATGACGAAATCATAGATGTTGGCATCTTTGCAGACCTTAATCAAAGTCTCCTCCGAAACGTCGTCCTTATCGACTCCGAGTAGGATATTTTCCTTGATCGTACCCTGATACAGAGTAGGTTCTTGGCTGACCAGGGCGAGAAAACTGCGGTATGAGTTGACATTGAGAGTGGTAATGTCCTTTCCGTCGACGAAGACCCCTCCAGCAAGTGTGTCATAAAATCGCTCGAGCAGAGCAATCGTAGTACTCTTACCGCACCCACTGGGTCCAACAAGGGCAATGTATTGTCCAGGCTTCACGCTCAGATTCAGTCCTCGAAGAACGGGCTGCTCCGGCCGCGTTGGGTACCTAAAGTGGACGTCCCGGAATTCGATTTCGCCTTCCATGGACTCCAACTTCTCGCCCTCATCCGACCAGATATCAATGGTCGGCTTGCTGTCGAAGAGTTTCTTGAATTGAGCAGCGGCATTCTTTGCCTTACCCATGTCTGGGGCAAAAGAGAAGACAGTTCCGGCTGATTGCGCACCAAAAAGAATCTCGGAAAAGCAGACGAAGAAACGGAAGATGCTGTACTCATGATGGCCTAGAAGTGTACCACCATACCAGAAGCCCAAAGCGACGCAGAAGAACACCAATGCCTGCGACGAGGCATACAGCAGGGAGGATTTCAGCACTGAGATCAAACTCTTCCGTCCCTGATTTTGAAGCTGATCGTGGTAAACGCCCCAGACATCTTGTTCGCGAGTGAGTGATGCTACAGTGCGGATTGCTGACGTGGCTTCGCAAGCATAGCTCGCAGACCCTTCGTATGCAGACTTCGATCGTTGCTGGAATCGAGCAAGCATGTAGAATCTGAGGAAGCCGCATGCTAGCAGGATTGGAACGACAGAAATGCAAACCAGAGCCAGCTTCCATCCGATCGCCAACGCAATGATCATCGCCGCCCCAAGCGTAGTGCTGGTCATGATGATTGTGCCGAGAGTCACTCCGCTAACACCCGACAGATGCTTCGTCTCTGTTGATAGGAAGGACGTCAGGGCGCCGGTGCTGTTCTCTTCCCTGTCGAAAAATGAGATGTCTTGACGAAGAATCGATCTAAACGCTTGACTTCTAGCTCGGCGAATGAGTCTCTCCGAACAAACAGCAAATGCTGAACCATTGATAGACAGGCTGATAAATTGAGCAATTCCAACCACAAAGAACATCAAGGACCAGAAATTCGCGTCATGCCTGAGTTTGTGAAACATTGATTCGGGTAACGAGAGCGTGCTAATTGCCTTGGCGTACAGAAAAGCCTGGGTAGGTTGACCACCACCGGCAAGGAACGCGAAAGTCAAGCCAATGAGCATGTAACCAAGCTCGGGGCGGTTAAATGCACCGATGAACTTGATGAGGGTCCAGAGTGAGTACTTCTTGAACTGCTCGGGGACTCTCTTAGATAGAACGGCACTCGAAACCGATTTTTGCGTTCCGGTTCGCTTCATCTCCAAGCGCGCCTTCTCATCTTCAGCATCGAGAGAATTCGAGCTACTAACCGCAGTCTTGATGCGAGCAACCTCTTCTTGAGCAAAATCATCGGCGTCCATGTCCGCGTCGGCTTCCAGAGCTTCTGCTTCTTTCTCCTCGTTGATACGCTGCGCCTCCACAAGTTTATAGTACGTGCCTTTGCGATCGACCAATTCGTCGTGTGTTCCCTGTTCGGCAATCTTTCCACCGACCATGGCAACAATGTTGTGGGCTGTTTTGATTGTTGACAAACGGTGAGCAATGACAATGGTGGTTCTACCTTCGGCAGCTTTATCAAGAGCGGCTTGGACGACGCCCTCAGACTTGGTATCCAAAGCTGATGTAGCTTCATCAAGCAACAGAATCTTGGGGTCACTGACAATGGCACGAGCAATGGCAATACGTTGCTTCTGACCTCCTGAAAGTAAGAAACCACGCTGACCGACATTCGTCTCGTAACCTTCAGGCAGAGCCATGATAAAATCATGAGCATTGGCCATTCTGGCCGCATTCTCGATGAGCTCTCTAATCTTTTCCTTCGACTCATGCTCAAATTTGGTGCCAATCAGGCCATGTTCGATGTTTCTAAAGATCGTGGTGCCGAAAAGAACAGGTTCCTGGCTGACAAGAGAGATCTGCTGTCGCAGCCAACGGAGGTTGAGGGTTTGGATGTCATGGCCGTCCAGCAATACCTGGCCTCCTACAGGAAGGTAAAAGCGCTCCACCAAGCCGACAACAGTACTCTTTCCAGAGCCAGATGGGCCCACCAATGCGGTAGTCTTTCCGGCGGGCATCAATAAAGAGACATCTTCCATGACAGTAACTTCGGGTCTTGAAGGGTAGATGTGTTTGACATTGCGGAATTCGATATTTCCTTCGAAATGGTCGAGTTTCTTCCCTTCGTCAGAATAAGGGTCCAGTGGCGATCTGCGGTCGATCGTGCTGTAAATCTTCGCGGCCGCGGCAACACCGTTCGTAAAGGCCTGGCCATTGGGGGCAACGTTGCCCAAACTGAACGAACCGATCAGGATAGCCATCAAAACTGTCAGAACTTGGCCCACGTTGACTTCTTTATTGACAAGGAAGCGAGATCCCATCCAGAAACCGAGACCATAGTTCGAAAACATGATACCGAACATAGCACCGACCATCATACCAAGGATGACCTGTTGTTTGACGCCCCATTTCTCAGCCTCAGCCAGGTGGATTTCGTATTGCTTGGCCAGCTTATCTTGGGTGCCGAAAGCGGTAGCATTCCGAATGGAGCTGATGACTTCTTCCGCGACAGTTCCACCAGCACCATAACTTTCAAGAGATTTCTTGCTGTATTTCACAATAAACCTCGACCCACCTCCCATGACCATGACCAGCGCGACGATAGTTGAGGTACAGATCAGAGCCAACTTCCAATACTTGACGTAGGCGACAATAAATGCGGTCACAAATGTGGCAAATGCGGTCAAAGTGAGACCAACTTTCTCAGAGATGGCGTCCTGGATCAGGTTGGTATCAGCAGTGATACGAGTGGTCACTTCACCGGCGCCCAACTTGTCGAAGTAAGCCATGTTCTGCCTCAGGATAGCCTCGAGATAGTTTTCACGAATCTTCTGTGTGAGATGTTCGCCAGTATAGATGAAACCCACGGTGCTGACGTAGACCGTGACAAACTCCGCGATACCGAGATACACAAAGTAAAGCACATTCTTAGTCAGTTCGTGATAGAAATCATGATAGGGCATGGTACCCAGAGAGATGCCTTGGAACGCTGAGGCCAGTGAACCGAAAAGAATCTAGTAGACCAAACGTCAGCCCACAAAAGATGTTTGATCTAATGACTGACAAATAAGCACATTGCCAGGCAGGTCATACATACTGTGAACAAGGGAAGAGCGGCGCCAGCAGCAATAGCACAGATTGCGCTCACGACCATGATCAGGATGTCCGTTCTCGAGGCATAGCGATACAAAATGAAGAAAGAGACTTTCACAGACGGTGCCTCAAGCTGTCGCTTGAGTATCTCTTTCTCATGCTCCGGGAGATGGGCAAAGAGAGAATCATCACTCAAGTCGACAGCTTTCCCGTGATGATCCTTTTTCTTGCCATCTGGAGGCGCCATGGTCGTGTCTGATAGCGAATGATGGTCGTGTGGTTTTTCATTATCAGCACCGGAAGATGAAGTGGAACGTCCTTTCTCTAATGTCGCTACTTGCAATTCCTCGAGGGACTTCTCCCGAGAGGAGGCGCCGGTTTCAGGCGCAGACATGTTGCGCTTGAGGTTATGCCGAAACTGATTCTCTCAGATAAATTTGTCACAGATTGAGGAATCCTCGCGCAATCCAGAATCGCACTACTCCATAAGTTGGTTAACTGGCAGATAATCTGGCTTCCAGACTCGACACAAATACTCAGAGGTCGTCGAGCGAATCAAGAAGGAGGATTATAGGAGAGAATAGTCTGAGATGCTGTCGTAAGGGCCCCGTCGTACTCCCCGTAGAAAGGACACTTCTATGTCGTATGGTCTAAACTCCACCCTGGCGAGTGAATGATGTAACCTCTGAAGACGAAAGAAAAATTGAAGGGTTTAGAAAGACACCATGAAACCTCCTTTTGAGAGCTTCACTCAAAAGAACATGAATTTGGACAATATTTAAGCGTCAGCTCGAAGTATTAATAGTCCCCCCCTCAACGGTCAACTAATAATAAGGATAATATTAATGGTAGTAATATTACAAGAAGAAATAATAATAGTACATTTTTGCTCCCACACTCGCACTCTTAAGGATAGTCTTAGCCATAGATGGATGATCCGCACGTAGAGACTAGAGAGACCCTTTACGGATCTTAGCGTCAACCACCGTATCTTCGGAGGCCCGACATGCCGATACTTTTATGCACAAAGTTAAGCTAATGGAGACCACAATCCTTGTTCCTCGCATCCGCCGCACTGTGTTGCCTAGAGAACAACATCTTAAGTTCATGAGTCATGATTCGTGACTGAAAAGCATTTCGAGAAGCATCTGCTACTATCTGCTCTGTACCGTTGATTATGCTGAATCAAGGCGAAAAATTGTTGGTCATCTTGATCATGAAGCCTATCTACGCTACATTACCTGTTTTGTACCCCGACTTCATACCTATTTATACGCATGGACGCAATAGCTTAGCATGCCTCATAGTGCACTGTCTAACCAAGTTTGGGAAATTCAATGGATCTGCCGCTCGCTTCTCTAACGACGCCTTCGACATCGAGAATTCAACAGTTCAACCAGATGGACCCGCTTCTCCTTTTTGCAGTCAAATACGAGTGGTAGGCGGGTCCTGTAGTCTGTTCCTGCTCCTGTCCCGCTTGTCACCTTAACAAGACTTCTTGCATGGAAGGCATCGAAATAATCTGAAAACCTTAGCTAGGGCCATAGGTTGTGACTCTTAACCAACCGGATGATAGTCGATCATCTGACTGTGACCTCATGTCCAACAAACTCATCTTGTGTAGAACATTCTAGTACCGATAAAGAACAGAAACAACCTTTAATCTAGGAAATTTTTCGTCGACGGAGATTTATTGTGTCTCCCCCACGTTGTGATGCTTGTTAATCCAAGACTCCAAATTTCAATATCAAAAGCCCCTTCAGCAGGCAGGCCAATCAGAACGCAGGTTTTGGGTTGAGCCCCTGGACCTGGTATTAAGGTAATATGATAGCTCTACACAGTACTATGTTAGAGTGCGAAAATATCGTTCGCGTATTCCCGCAGTCCACTATGGAGTACGACGAGTTGCCTGTACAGGTATAGGCTATATAGGAATGCTCAAGGCAGAAATCTGAATGGCTCCAATTGTAGTAAGCAGAGTGCCTGAGTCTCCAGTGGCCTGTAGGTGGAAATGCCGAACAGTCTTCTCAGACGTCTGGGCACCATGGTAGGAGTGCGTAGGTAGGTACGTATCAATTTCAAGATTGTGGCGGTCGGCAAGTATAATTCCCGAGCCCCCGAGAACGTTGCCTGGGTTAAGCGATGTACTTGACCCCTCTATGGAGGCGACATCGCATAGAGTAGCACTTGATTGGCGGATCTCGAAAACTGTGTCCTTAAAAGAAGTAAGCTACCTTTAGGTACTCCGTACGTACGGAGTACGGAGTAAATAAGAGTATGTCGATTTCAACTTATGTTTGTCCTTTTTTTCAGGCCTTCCAGTCTGTTGACACAGACTTCGGGGTTCGAAATAGTTATCCGTAGCATCTTGACGTTGCTCAGTTCGGTGAATCATGAATTGTCAATCACTCTGTTTGAGTACTCTCAAGACAGAAGAGCATCAATTTTGCAAGGCGTATAGAGTACGGGGGACCTAAGATCAAATCTCGGGTTTTCCGTACTCCGTAGGTAGACCTCACAACATCCTCGTAATCCTGGAGCCTGAGGGTGCCCGACATCTACGATCTGGACTGCATGGTCATTTGTTGCCTCTTATGGTCCATCGTCCTTTGGAAGTTCTGAGTGGGTTCAATAATACCAAGTGAAACCGAACCATACGTGCTTGTTAGTCCCGTATTGTCTGCTCGATTCGAAAGAGTCACCACTCTTTGTAATTACTGCTCTGCTGTTCATTTGCTAATGCCGGAGAGCCACGTATGAAGGGTAAGGCTTGTAGTCGTAAGCTCGTCCCGATCCCTGGAATTCCCTTCTCGGATGAGTCAAGTCAACTCATTATAACTATTGCCTAGACGAGACTCGAGTATGTCATGACAACATGCAAGCTTATGCAGACGACTGTCACTGCCTCGAGCCCTCATGCAGCCAGAACCTAGTACTGCGTGATCTTGACCTTCCGGGTGGAGTTTGTTCACAGTCATGAATAGTTTATGTTTCTATATTTCGAGTTAATCTTGCTTGCTTGATCGAGGAGAGCGGTTGTTGTAGAAGTCATATCAGATCTGCGCGGGTGTTGAAAATCGGATTCCGACGACCCGAACGGAGACCCCTAGGCCATATGAGAATAATCTAAGACCATGGATGACCGTACTCGAGACATCGTATCCAACAAAAATCAAAGGGCTGTCGTTGCATATCACTGCTATCAGATGTGGTCCCTGGTCGTGGATACGGAGCCGGATGTATGCCTCAGGCAAAAATCACATGACCCGCCGGAAGCGAACCGCTAAACCCTGCCCACACAAAAAATAACCACGACGATCGGCCCTTTTGAGACGGTCGACAACCTCACTATCGCCAGTCCATACCCTCAGCTCGCCGTCGCGACAAGCCTTCAAGATGCCGGTTAGCAGTCCTCCCCTACGATTCCGAGTTATTTCAAGATGCCAGGACTTTATTAGTCCTGCTCTCGCATCGATGAGCCGAGTTATTCGTCTGTGATGTTGAGGTGGCAGGGTGACAATTGGCTAACGTTGATTTCTGTTGAATAGAGCCACAAGAGTTTCCGCACCAAGCAGAAGCTTGCCAAAGCTCAGAGACAGAACCGTCCTATTCCCCAGTGGATTCGTCTCAGGACCGGTAACACCATCAGGTAAATACTCTCTTTTTCCCCCTACAATCCGGAGCCGTCGATCGTGTGCACTGGTGGTGTGGGAAACTCGCTTGAATCGGACTTGGATCACATCAACAACCTTGTCATCTCCTGCATCAACAAGCGCACCAGAAAAATCACACGAATGGATTTGGAACCTTGCGCGGGTTACATGGACACAAGGAAGAATGAACCAGCTGACGGGTACTCTTCTCCTCCAGATACAACGCCAAGCGGAGACACTGGCGCAAGACCCGTCTCGGTATCTAAACTCGAGACAAATTCTTTTTCTTTTCCGACCGAGATGTCCGTCCCCAGTTGTTTCGTCCGATTGTGATACCGCAGATTTTGCTCGCGATGATTACTGTGCGTTCGGACCTCGCGCCGCTCTTACAATATTTTTACCTCTCGGTTTCTGTTCGGAACAAAAGCAATCTGAATGAATGACAAGTCGGTTCATCTTGGAACACACGTGCTTTTCCTTTTAGTCTAGCCCGGCCACTCCGATGCGAATGGTGCAACTCTACCCTCTGGATCTTAAGGTGAAATGCAAACTGTTGCAAGGTGCAGGTCGAACAGACTCCATAAATGCGAGCGGTGTCGGGCTCTGGACATCTGCAAATATGTACACGAGCTAAACAAGAATAAAAGAAAAGTCATGATGGGTAATGATCGTTGAACGAGGCATGTGCATGGGCGATATCACTCAAACAAGGAATGACCGCTTGTTAGTACGTAAACGGGAGGAAACGAAAAGAGATGGATGAGACGTGCTCCTGCAACCGCATGCACATTAATACTTTGTTGATGACTGCTTCCAGAGTTTTGTCAACGCTTATGTATACAATGCACCCTTGGCAATTTGCCGCAGGGATGTCGGGCCTGTAGATCTACTCTTTACCGTAAGTGGCAATGCTACTTGACCTCTGCATTCATCAACAGAATATGCAGGGATCGAGGAAATATTCATTACCAGGTCATGGTTGACCATCGAATTTTTGAGCAACTTGAAATATGAATAGCTAGCGAGCCAACATAATCAGTGAGTGGTATAAGAGCAGAACCCTCGCCCATTTATTCGAAAGAAGCGAAAACGAACCCGGGCTGACAAGGCCCGAAGATAACAGCCAGTGAAGAAGCAAACAACCGCTAGAAAGTTATGGAAGCCGAACGCCGTAGACTGAATTTATCTTTAGACCGATAAAACTCATTGCGTGACGAGGTGGCTGTCGCTCGACCGCCAGAGAAAGAGTCCGAGATTTTGTGACGTTAAACAGTACGCATTTAGCGACTAAGATCAGCCTTGTTAGCAATGGGTCCATTCGATGCAAGTAGAGGCGTGAAGCTTACTCTTCGGCCCACTCGTTCTCACGGCGGATTTGATCCTCCTCCTCGGGAGTGAAATCGTTCTGAATGTTGAAGGTCTTGCGAATCTCTTCGGGGGACTTGCCCTTGATCATGTTCGCAACAGTCTTGCAGCCGACATCCAAGAGAGCTTTGATATCGAGATAGTTGGCAGCCTATAAAGTTCGCATCTTAGTCAATTTTCTGCGGGAAGGGGTAGACAATCTGGTACGTACCAGAATGATTTCAAACAACATCTCCTGGTCGACCTGCATGAACTTCTGATCCCACTCATCGATATCGGTAGTCTTGCGGCGAGAGTCATCGTCATCACCGGTGCTGGGAGGGTCGTTCTTGTGATGAGTGCACCATTCAATGACCTTCTTCAGCACCACCTCGTTGACCTGCGAAGAAGGACAGGGTTAGAATGGAAAGAGCCACTCACTAAGAGGAAAGGCTTGCAAATCAAACTCACATTTGGAATAGGAATGGCCTCGTCCGATTCGCCCAAATCCTCCAGCATGTTCTTGATAAGAATCGATCGTTCGGCAACATCGCGGTCTACACAGAGGCAGACATGATCAGTATAGAATCGGAGGTGAAATAAAAGTAAAGATAGAGTGCATTCATCTTCCGAGAACCGGACACGAAGGGAATAGAAGGATGAGACAACTTACCGACCGTGATGTCAACGCCATCGGAGCTTGTGAGAGTAACAGTGGTCATTTTGACAATCTTTGTAGTACCGAGATCGTGACCTGATTCTGCAGCAGGCGTTAATAACAGTTTCGAATGAAAAGTCTGGAAGCTCTCGCTCAGCAGACGTTGCGAGGGGCGCAAAGGCGGGGGAATCTGACAATGATCCTGTCTTGGAGTCAGTGGGAAGCTGGAGGTATTTTGAGCAGTTGTAGGATTTCAGGGAACAAGGCGAACCTGGTGTTTTGGAACGCTGATAGGACTTCCGTATGTAGCAATATGTAAGCAGGGAAGAAAGGAGATTAAATACTGAAGCTGGAGTCGACAAGTGAGAAGAGGTTGGTTCTTGCGGCGGCTCTTCGTATTAGTGAATCTTTCGCTGGGGGAAGGGCCGCGAGCAGTGACTAAACCACTAATCCTACTTCGCCCCCCACTAGATACTAGGTACCCTTGATGGAGCATGGGTTGGCAGCCTAATGTCTTTGTGTCGGTATCATTCTACAAAGTCTGCCTAGTCGATACAACTAGTACTTGTCAAGATGATGTCTGTGATACCCATACTTAAGAGACAGATGACCGTGGTCCTCTTGTAGTCATTCAAAGTTTCAACAACAATCGCTCATAGATCATGATACGCGAAACAGCAAAGTACAAATAGCAAGAACAAGAACAGACTGGTCACTTTCGAAGACGACAGTCCTCGGCTAGGACTGTCCATGGTCTCAGTTATCATTCATCTCCAATGAAAAGAAGTGAAGTCTTTGTGGATTAGGATTCAAATAGGCTTGAGTTCTTGAACTTGACCACGATACTCAGAACTTGAAAGAACACAAAACACCACATTTTAATGGGCTTCGCCTACAAGAAGGAAAGCAACGGGAAATTCCTTCAAGGGTCTCAGTTGCAAAGGGCTATCTCCACTGCCAGGCCTTACTGACTTCTTGATCAATCGTCAAGACCGATTGCAGCCAAGTATTATGGCGAGTGAGCTCAGATATTTGGCGTCCAGAAAAACGCTTGGTGCTTCCAGCTACACCTGGTCCGTTAGCTGCAGGTTTGCTGTATCAAGAACGAAAATAGAACAATGCAGCAACTGTGTCGATCTACTGCAACTAAGACCAAGAAATGGCGTTGTCAGGTCAAATGACACAGCCAAAAATCTGGACTCGCGGGGAATCGAACCCCGGACCACCTGCTTGCAAGGCAGGTATTATACCACTAAACCACAAGCCCAATTTGATGTCATGTGACTTGTTTTCGACTACCAGAGATAAACAATTTACAAAGTACAAACCAGACGAAAAAGATGAGTAAAATAAGACGAAGGCAAAAAGTGGACAAAAAAAATGGACTCACGGGGGATTGAACCCCGGACCTCTCGCATATCTAGTCCGAAGACCTGCACCTTTATCAATGCAAAGCGAGCGCTACTACCACTGAGCTACAAGCCCATTTGTGTTCATACTATTTAGATACATTTAAATGAGTCAAATCGCATGTCTAACAATTTTTCATACTTAATATGGTGTCACCCAAATCATGGGATGTTACTCAGGTTTCCTGATATCGGTCCAGGTGAGCGATATTAGGAGATAATCAAAAGAACAAAAGATCAAACGGCGTGCATTACAATAATGAGCCCATTGTCTAGCACTCTACTCCGTGTCAGTATCCTGGCAATAAGGTACGTGCCTGGAGGGAAATAGTCACAAGCTTTCTTTTCCAGGACCAATGATATCATCATCCGACCAGACGCGTTCTGTGTGCTCTTATCGAGTGGGAAAAAGAAAAACATCAGAGAGTGGTAGTACCACGTAGACTAAGCTCTATTATTGGTTTACTTGTCCTCTGACCTGACTGATTTTGCGACTCTCTGATCAGCAACCCAACCCATCCCCTTTATCATTATTCTCAGTATTTGTCCTCTTTCCGTCTTTCAGATACGAGGCCTTATCGGATGCTCCGGATCGCTGTTTTTCTGTCCTCAACCTCCTGATGCAGCAGCATGTAACTGTTATTTCGGTCGGATCATTCTTATATTTTCTTCATCCCGGTGTACCGTGCGTTTTTGACATCTGAGTCATGTGGAGACGGACATACTTGCTGCTATTACTCGTTCGAGTCTACTTTGCGCTCTCGCCAAGTTATCTCCATCCAGATGAGAACTTCCAAGGCCCCGAGGTCTTCGCGGGTATGTCGTTCTCCCAAACTCCTCAAGTTGTGTAAATACAGCGCTGCGGTCATTATGACAACGCGATAGCGGATGCTGCTCTGCTCGTTCCCTCCTTGCGAGCTTTTAACAGTCTTGCCGTCGCGCAACCCGTTCCCTCTTGAGAGTCGGCGCTTCGCAATCAGCAAACTGACGGAATGCTTAGGTCGCACACTCTTGTACCCGTCCAAATTACCGTGGGAGTTCACCTCTGAGAATCCTATTCGCAGCGTCTTTCCGCTATGGCCGGTTTACAGCTTGCCGATGGGCCTTCTGAAATGGTTTTATGGGGAGTTGGAGATAGGGAATCCATCTCCGGAGGTGGCTTACTATTTTTTGAGAGCGGTCATGTTCCTTTTAAGTTTCGTTTTGGAGGACTGGGCCATCTACGAGCTGGTCCCGCTTCCGCGACATCGCCGGGCCGCTGTGGTGCTGGTTGCATCCTCGTATGTCACCTGGACATATCAGACGCACACCTTCTCCAACTCGCTTGAGACTTTATTGGTCACCTGGGGTCTGGTGCTGATTCGTCGCATCGTTGGACAAAAGGTTTGAAACATCGAGGAAGATTATCAGTGAACCTCCTGAACTAATGGCTGCATATAGCGACGCTCATCCGTCTTCTCTTGTGTCGTACTCGCATTGATCGCTGTCGCTGGTGTTTTCAATCGGATCACCTTTCCGGCCTTTCTTTTGATTCCAGGGCTTCAATTATTGCCACATTTCTGGCGCAGGTAAGCCCTCATCATCCGAGATGGCAGGCTGTCGAATCAACTAATGCTGAGGAGCAGACCAACCTCATTGTTTGTCTTCGTCCTCTGTGGCCTATTCTTCTCTTGCATTGCTATAATCATCGATACTAGGTTTTATCGCCCGTCTGCATCAGTACTCGATGCCCTCCGCTCGCCTATAATCACACCTCTCAATAATTTACTTTACAATACGAAAACTTCGAACCTGGCTCTTCATGGACTCCATCCAAACTACCAACATTTTCTAGTCAACTTGCCGCAGCTTCTTGGACCCGCATTTGTGGCAATGATCCTCTCCTTATGGAACCGTCCAGCAATTCCTTCTTGGCTGAAGACAACGCAGGCCGTTTCCGCTCTATCAGGGGTCGCAATGCTCTCGATCTTCCCGCATCAAGAGCCCCGTTTCCTCATTCCTTGTGTGCCACTCCTGCTTAGCTGCTTTCGCCTGCGCAAATCACGTCTCTTCCTTGTAGCTTGGGTCATTTTTAATGCTGCTTTGGGCTTCTTAATGGGCGTCTACCACCAGGGTGGCGTGGTACCCGTGCAGCTGGCCATCCCCACCATAATTTCAGCAGAGACTGTGAAGTCGAATAACTCGTTGGAGAATCAACCCAGAGTATCCGCGACAGTATTATGGTGGAAAACATACTCCCCCCCATCGTGGCTATTGGGAAACAATACCAGCTTCCCGCTAGATATTGATACCCGCGATATGATGGGCATTCCTGGAGCAGAGATGGCCCAGGAGCTCGAAAAGTTGGTGCCGCCATGTGGCTCTCATAGCGGGACTCACATGGATGATGCCAGCGCCGGGTCTGGGAAAGCTGATCGAACGAACTTCGTGCTCGTGGTCGCCCCAAGATCTGCTACATACCTCGACCGATACACAACAGCGCCCGCAGGCTCGTCCGGTCTGGAATTACAGGAGCTCTATTCCTACCCGAAACACATCAACCTGGATGATCTCGATGTCGGTACCGACGGGCTGCTCGCGACGTTAAAACGCGTCTTTGGCAGACGTGGACTGAATGTCTGGTTAGCACGAAGGGCGGGCTGCGATTGACCCTCACCCGCTACCTTATTTCCCGTTTGATTTCCATTTCTCTTCGTCCTCGGCTCAGTTGAACATCTGAACATCTATAAACAAGCATAACATGTGCTCTTGCGCGATGTTTCATTCCCCTTCTACAGCGAGTCAGTCGACACGCATTCTACTCTCATCCTTTTCTTCAGGGATGAGACTTTTCGGATACCCCTTTCCCAGCGTCAAATATACCCGTACAAAATATGTCCCTCGTATGTCATCCATACCCCTCATCGCAATATAGTATAATCATAATTTATGACTAGTCAAATGAACGGGACGGCAGATCAAACTGTCAAAGTAAAAAGAGCCAGTACTTGTTTCTTGGCATGTCACAAGGGATAACCCTCGCTTGCGTCAGATCTTCAACAGCTCGTCGCAAGATCTGCAGTCAAATGTACTGGGTGACCCTCTATCTGCAAAGGACATTCTTTGCTTACGTCTTCATCCCTATGTTCCTGTGGAATCGGGCGATTCGATCCGGTTGCTAAACCTCGTCATGCCGGCGGAATAAAGGCGAAAGAAGAAATAGAATACATGTCAAGATGACCCAGTGCGTCTCATTGATAGGTACATGACCCACGCGTCACGTTCGAAAAAAAAAAGGAAGGTAGATATCATACGTTGAGACATCGAGTTCCCAATTTCATTCACTAGGGCAGCTGTTTCGACATAGAAAAAACACACGCAAGTGAAGTGACAGGGAAATGGTAAAAAAAAAGCTTGCACCGAAGCCCGGTTTAAACAAAATCGGTTTCGTACAAGAGTCAGAAGACGTTCATGCTAAGATTCGTTAGGAGAGGAGAATCAACTCGATTAGATTGACAGGCAACCGGTAGACGAGGAGCCTCAAACAAAAGCACAGAAAGCAGTTCATCACATGTCGTCAGGATCATCAGGGTTCTCAAAGAGGTAATTGGCTGCGAGCTCTTCGTTCTTGTCACAGGCAAAGTAGGCCTGGATGACCAGGTCGCGAGAGAAACCAAGTCGGCAAAGCTGGCAACCAGTTAGCTTGAACTATAATAGTAGCAGTATCAGTATGAAGAGGTACGTACGCGTTCAATGGCGTCTCTCTCCTCCTCTGTAACGCTGATTGCATGGGTACCTGGAGGCAGCGCGCCATCATCCTCTTCACTCAAGAGCTGGAGAAACTGCTCCTCATTCTGACCGATGAGCTGTGCAATCTGAGGGTTACCAGCGGCGACTTGCTGAAGGATGGGTTCCAGCATCTGTGGCTGTTGCTGGACCAACTGGCGGAGCTGCTGAAAGTGAGGGTTATTCCGCAAGAAGTCGAGGTTGGGCAGTCCTTCCCCAGCTCCGGCAGCACCCGCACGAGCTCCACGACCAGTGCCCTCTCCAGTGCCGGCCTGAGCAGCGGCTTCAAACAAATTCACTGGCTCATCGCCACCGGTCGACGAGGGAGCACTCTCTCCGGAAGGAGCGGACGGGGCGGGGGGCGCGGCGGCTGCGGCAGCCTGTTGCTGCTGCTCCTGTTGGATGTTGTCGGGGATTCCCTATATAGGGAATTAGCCTTAGTCATGCGAAGCGCACGTGGAGTACAGCAGGTGAAAGCTCACATTCAATAGATACTCAATAGCACGATCGGGGTTGAAGAAAGCCGCTCTCATGGCACGGTTGATATCGCTTCTGGGGAAGCCCATGCTCTCCATTTGACTGATGACAGCCTCACTCTGAGAGCCACTCAGCAATGCGGACGGGTCATTGAACGCAGCAGAGGCATCGGCGGGTGCCTGAGCCGGAGCGGCGGGTGAGGGGGTCGCAGGTACAGCCGGAGCAGAAGGGGCAGCAGACGGGGCAGGAGCAGATGGTGCAGCAGGCGTGGAGGCAGCAGCTCTCGAAGGTGTCGAAGGGGCCTGTGAAGGAGTAGCGGCAGACGAGGGAGCCTTGGGCTACAGAAGATGGTACGGTCAGATGCAGTGCTCAGAAGTCGTTTCAATAGCGAGACCAGTGTCATTACCTTCGATACCATGCATACTATGAAACCCTTCTCCTCAATGTTGTATGTCTCGATGGTCTTGTCATCTTGGAGGATTTTCCCTGCGAGTTATCCAGCGAAGCGTCAGCGAATCAGCTAAGAAAAAGCTGGAGGAAAGGAGACAAAGGGGAAATAAAATGACTGTGCCATTCCAGCAGATACTTGAGAAATGACAAAACCCAGGGTGATCATTGTCAGACTAACCGGAATAGATGAGCTTGAGCTGAGGTACCTCCCATCCTTTTTCCTTGGAGATTTTTTCCTTTACTTGTCCGACCTAGGAAAGATTCCGGTCAGCCCCGCACTGGCAGAACACTCGCGCAGGGACAAAAGCTCACCGTCTCCGAGGGCTCTGCATCAATTACGAATTTCTGCTGTTTGAGATCCTATTGGTGAGAGACCACCGTCAGTACTTGATGGCCAAATATATATCGAGAGGCAGGAGTTGGTTGATGCAGAAGGTACCTTGAATGTGAGCTTCATTTTGCGCCACCGAAGGAGAGGAGATGGCTACGAGAGGTGGGGAGGAGTTTAAAGTAGCTGGAAATAGAGGGGTACGGGGTCGTAGAATATCAGGTATCCGTAGCAGGGGCTGTTAAGGTAGCTGAGTAGAATATTGAGATAGCTAATCCAGCAAGATCAAAGGGCGTAAAAGAGAAAAGAAGCTGGATTCGTGAAGTGGGAAAGATTGATGACCATAATCATGACGCCCAAGAAGAATGGAAAGGGAAGAGGTGGGAGAGCTGGGGGCGGTCACGGCTCCATGCGCCACCTTCAATTGCTGTCCAGCCACAGTCTGTGTCGGTGCTTCAGCCACAATTATTAGTCATTTCCGTACTCTGTCTTGGCGGCCCAGATCCATGAACACATGCTCCCAAGGCCATGCAGTAGTATAAGGTACGACTTTCTGCCCAGTGGATGTCCTTTCCTCAGTAAAAGTCAGTTAGATCCCTAGCAATCAGACAATGGGGTTACAGAGAGATATCCGCTGATTTTTGAGTCTCCGGGTTGTTCTATCAGGATATGGTCTACTCCAATGCAATAATGCTCTCTACATCGATCTATATATATATCGGAAGTGGATGGCTGTAGCGTAGGTAGTCACGTTGTATATGTCCTCATGGGTTCAACCACTACATACTGTCATGAAACAAACACAAACCCACAATCAAAGCTGTGCAACATATACATGCTCAATTGACTACTTCTGCCATGTAGTAACTGGCAGAGGTATCGGATGTCTTGGGATCAGATCGGAGCAGGACTGTAGGAGCAAGCAGATGCAGTACATGTGAAACGAAAAGCAAAAGATATAGTTGCAGCACGGCTTGCGAAGCCCAAGAGGATTTAGACTAATGGACGAGAGCTGCAAAGAGAGCTGCAAGCAGAAGCAATTTAATAATAGAAAAGACTAGCAGACCGCCTGAAGGATATCTTGCGAACATACGGAGTACACTGTAACCAATGCGGCAATGCCCATCCACCTCTCTCCACCTCCTAGGTACGTTCCACTCTATACAGAAGTACCATTGCAAATAAGGCCATTCTTCCACCAAAACTAACGAACTACTCTGTAGATGTATAAAGCCTCTTACAATCCCCAGTAGATCTAATCTGTGGCCAGCAGGGTATGCGAAAAAGGTCAAAGCACTGGTTGGACGTATCCCATATATGTATCACATAGTTCAGTGCTGGAGATGGGAGCCCACAACCCAGAGATCGAGGAGACTGTGATCCTATCTTCTGGGGCTAGCTAAAAAATAGTGCGAAGCCACTCTTATATTTACGCCAATCCTGAGTGTAACCCGAACCCGACATTCTAATAATCCCCTACCCTCTGTATCTTGTTTCCCGCAAACGACCTATAGACTTGGTTAGTTAACTCTGTAGAATAGTAGTTGTTGATTCGGATAGGTCCCAAGTATTTGACAACTGAACACTCCACAAGATATTAGGCGAGGACTGCGAGACATCACATTTCGACAGGGGGTATTATTTCTAGTGGCATCTGCGTACTCGATCTTGATGCCAAATGACCAATTTGGATGATTCCACATTGTAGATAGGCCCGTCCTGGGATCCTGGAGATCATCACCAGCCGCTCCGTCTAACGTGTTGACGAACCTTGACAAATAATTTTCTGGATGAGTTCCATGCGCGAAACAGAATCCTCGCTTTCCAGACGTCCCAGAGTTAATCCTAATTGGCCAAGGACTGCCTTTAGAGCCACCTCAGGAGATCTGAATTCATGAACATTTGATAGTCAATTTCTCAGGACCGGTGTTCCCTGCCTGTCTAAACAATCTTATGAACACACGCAGAGGACAAGTCATGTTCACTATACGTATAACCGCTAGCGTTTCTCAAAAGAAAAAAGAAAAGGATTCGGTCGAAGGTATGCAAAGGGAAAACCTGTTGTGTGCGCTGGATTGATCTGCTGGAGAAACAACTCAGTGGGACTCTGAATAGCTTTTCTTTTTTACCACCTACGCTGGACATTCGATTTCTGATCCAGTAACACTATCCATCCTGTATCGTCCATCGCTATCCCGTGACGAATCAGGAGTGCTATTGGAGAGCTTCAAACCCACATATTCCCGGATGAGAGTGACTAAAGATCCTGTCACCCCTGCCCATAACTTCATTGAGACAAGCCATCGAAGCCCTGATTCTATCCATCCCAAATCCCAAGGCTCGGGGGACTCCTCCCCGGTTGGTGAGCCATTCCTATCCCGGTAGATAGATAATTTAGGATCTATGGAGTCTTGCCCCCCGGGACGATGCATATTTACCCGTCGCTTCCTTCATGTCAACATGGTTCTGAGCCCACCTCTACGCTTGTTACACCACAGGGCCGCTCATATTGTTTCTCCTCCTCCCATTGTTGTTGTTATTGAAATCTGCTTTACTGTTGACTTTTTATTCCTAGCATGCGGCATTCCTAATTCCTATAATCTTCTCTGCTTCTTCTTACGCTGTTGAC